CTCATCCCACTCTCCAGCTCCTTCAGCTGTTGGGGGATGCCCAGATCATGATGTTGGAAAGGATTGTGAGGTCACATCTGATGTGGCAGCAGCAGCAGCAGCAGCAGCACGATCACTTCACTCTGTTTGTATGTGAGAAGGGAGTGACACAGGCCTGCAGTGAATTTGCCGTACATTTTCCTGCTAGCCAAGCACATTTCACATGGCAGTAATGAACAGATAAATGTGTTTTCCTGTAGTTCCTCTACATTTGTTAGTGGAAATATCCCAAGATGTAAGTTATCCCGAGATGAAACAGAAACTCACCCTCTCCCCTCAAAAAGATATCAAACACACAGCACAAGTTATAATTGTTATGAAGACTTTTTTTTTACATAAGTCAATTTATGAATTATTAATTAAAAATCTTGCTCTACTACAGTTAATGACTGCTCTGTGTTCTCTTTGCATTTGCTTAAGCAGGAGAACCCATTTAGAGTTGTACCTTTTAAGTCACATCCCAGTGAGGTGCATTGATGGTTCTGGCATCTGCAGGCTGTATATAAAGGGTACATCCTGAAGGACCTGGGTTCCTCAGGAATAAACCATAATTCCAAGATTGCACGAGGCAGTTGACAGGCCCCGAGGGAACTGCTGCTGTTTTTGACTGTCCAGTCTCCTGTCATCTCATTACATTGTCCAAATCAGTGCCTGTGTCCCACAGGACAAAACACATTTCATAAAACTTAGTGAATAAATGGACGGGTCTCAGATTATAAGTAGATGTCTGAATGAGTAAATCAGTCACCCACCCCTGATGCTGTCACCAGAACAAACATCTACACGGGCAGTGAAGGAGACCGTATCGAGTCAACTGGCTCTGAAACTACTTGCCTGTGTTGGGGAAAAAGAGAAACAAATAATCTTCCTAAGAAGAGAGAGCGTGGTTTCACAAGCAGATGTGTAGAATTTGCAAACGAGAAGTGGATTGTTTGTGTATAGGAGCAGAAAAGGGAGAGACTCAGTAAGCTAAGTTAAAGTAAACTATTTATTGCACTTACTAAGCCGCCATGGGTTTGCACCCAACTGTTCACAACTGCTGCCCCAACCTCACCCACCTCCTTCTTAAAGTCCTCGGTCTCTGCGGGATGCACTCACAGTAATCGAGAAAGGAAAGCTTCTAACTTCCTCGTGGCCTCCTGGACCGTTGAAGGCCTCAGTCCATGAGTGTTAGGTCTGGTGGTGTGGTTTTCTGTCTGTCTCTGCGCCAGACAGAAAGAGGATGGAACGGAAGGGAAGTCAGATGTGGGCCTTGGTCCTAGGGCAGGCAGCTTGCAGAGAGCAGGATGCGCACATTCCCTGCTTGGATGACTTCTGGACTCTGGGGCTTGGCAAAGCTGCGGCTGAAAACATGGAACAAAATAAACTACAAAATATAGAAGGAATGTGGGGAAAGTCATGAAAAGCAAATTGGTGATTCATAAAGATTACAGTGTAATGGCTACAAGGTTTTCCAGGCTTTGATTTTAAACTTTTTCAAGAAATCAGTTGCAGCAGAGATTCCCTTGGTGGCTAGACATGAGGGGAGATTTATTTCTTTATTTATTCATTTACAACAAACTTTTGTTTAGCGTGTTTATTTTATTTTTAATAAAGCAAATGGCGTTTTCACCCATCTGCTTCTCTCTTGATGACATAAAAATCCTTAAGTAATCCCAGCCCTGGATGTAGGCAACATACAGTAGACACACAAAGATCATTATAAAAGTAGAGGTCATTTTATTTTTTTCATCATTCATAAGCATTTGCACAATTGCATAAAGAGTTACAAACACCAGTTGTCCTGGTGGCCAGTGCATATATGTTTGTATGCACGCATGCGTGTTTGTACATATAGCCTTTCCCTGGGCCCAGCAAATCTCCAATTCCTGAATGAATATATCAGTTTATCATGGTTCACATCATCATAATTGAAGTTTTTAAAGACAACCCCGCCCCCAGCATGGCATGTGAAAGTGTAATTTTCGGAGTACAGGCCTCAAGATCGACCATATTAAGGTCAGATTCTAGGTCTAGTTCAGCCCAGTGCAAGCCTGAGCACTCGCTGCACTGGTTGGGTTTTGTAACCTTGATCCAAGCCAGAGTCGTCTACAAAGGGAACCTCAGCCGAGAAATTGTCTCTATCAGATGTTCCTGTGGGTAGGACTGTGGGGCATTTTCTCGATTAATTACTGAAGTGAGGAAGGTCTGCTGTCTTGAGTGGTGCCACTCCCGGGCAAGTGGTCTTGGGTTGTATAAGAAAGCAGGCTGAGCAAGCCACGGAGAACAAGTCAGTGAACAGTGTCCATCCATGGTTACTGTCTGTTCCTGCTCAGGGTCCTTTGTTGGCTTCCCTCAAAGATGGCCTATGGTGTCAAGTAAACTCCTTCTTCCCCCATGCGTACTTTGTGCAGTGAACAGGAGAACATCAGTGTGGGTCCACCTCCTTTTCTGCCTGTCAGCCAAGCAGCTCTCATTTGTCTATAACTCTCACCACCCTAGTCCTCATTCCCTGTAGATAATCTGATGCCTTCTTAATTCTTCTGGTGGGAACAATCACCCAGAATACTTGTTTAAAATTATAGATCCATAGGCAGAACATGATAGAAGCAGACTCTCCAAGGCACAGCATTTTTTTTTTTTTTGCCAGAGAATTTGGGGGAGCTGGGACCATTGATGATTTTTCAGTGTCCCTTTATGCTAACAAAGCACATTTGTGAGCCTTCCCACAAGTGCCTTTCAAATATGCTCACTGTTTTATGTCCCAGAATTGAGGACCCCTTGGAGCTAAATGTTGACTCTGGGGCTGTAACGGCTTCTTATTTAGGGCTTCCCCACCAGGCCCCCAACAAGACCCCCCGCCAGGCCCCCAGGCCTCCCATAAAGCTCCCCACTGGACCCCTCTGCCTTCCAGAAGCTTCTGGGAATGATGGAAATAGTGCAGCCAAAATGTCTCTTGTAAGCATAGAGGAGAGAGAAGACATGTTGACAAAACCGCTGAGAAAACGTTAAAAGTTATAACACAAGAGAAAACCTATGATTTGCTAAAGATGATGGAAGTCAGGAGATGAATGAAGTCCTGTACATGTCAGTGAACTTTGATAAGCAAAATAAAAAATAAAAAAATAAACATAAAAATAGCTGCAGATGATGACTGCTAGAGTGATTTTTCTGTAGAACACTAGTTCTGAAAAATAGCCCATGAGAAACAGGTTCCAGCCTCAAATAAACTGGAAAATATGCAGAATAATGAAGTGTATCTATCTGCCTTAAAAGGCTCTGAGAAGTCCTGCCACAAACAAACATAAATAAAATGTGAAAATGGAAAGACCTCAAGTTTGGAACTCTTTCCCCCCATTGTCCCATAAAACATGCATAAACTTCTGTCTGGATGTGCTTGGAAAACACTGACTTGAGGGCATAAAGTTGGGGAAGAAAATACATTTTATTGGGGTGCTTAATACAGTGTACGGTACTATAACTATATCCAACTAAAAACCTTAATTATGGGGGCCAAGCTCCTGATGTCTTCTCTTTCCTTGAAATTGTGTGTGTGTGTGTGTGTGTGTGTGTGTGTGTGTGCGCGCACGTGCACAGGAGCGAGCAGCAGTGTGAAGCAAGTCTGTTGCTTATGTCTTTGCTTATTTTGAAGAGTCAGGGGTGGGAACATAGGCAACAGACTTGCCCCACGCTGCAGCTTGCTGATCCTCTCTTGGTCCTTGCTAACAAAAAGCAAGTGTATGGCGTGAGAACCGGGAGGGGGTTAGCAGAGCTTGGGAATGTAGAAAGGGGGCATGTCTGGAGCCGCTGGCTCTTTCCAGGCATCTGGATTGGAGTTCCAGCTTGTCTTCCTTTCTGTCTTTGCCAATCCGCCTCTCTGGGGACCTGGCAGCCTAGAGATGTCACCTCATTGCTGTGCTCCTGCTCTTCCTGTGTTTAATACTTCGTAGGGAGTCTTCCTTTCAGGGAATTCTGGGACCCGAGGCTACACTGAGCACAGTCCTTGTGGCCTCTTGGTCAGAAAGGGGCAGAAAGAGCAGTCTCTGCTGGCTTTGCCAGCTGTATCAGCTATGTAAGAGATGTAATGCTACTCTGGCCAGAATAGGGACATTCTATGCTTGGGTTATGAGTCCCATGTGTCAGAGCTTAACAGCACTTTGAGATGCCTCTCAGATTGGTTGATGTGTGAGCAGATGTGTGATCCTTACATGATTGGATTGGAAATTGCTGAGACAGTGGGCCAGGGGTTAGGGGGAATGTTGTTCCTCCTTTGGTTTTTGTTAAACTCTGTCTTGAAGCAGAGAGAGAAATAATTTCAGTTGTTTCTGCTTACGTGCTTGAGGGAAAATTGACTGCTGTGTAGTGTGAACTCTGTCATTCTTTGGGGTGCTGACTTTGTTCTGCCCTTGGTTTGACAGAGACGAACCATATAGTTGGAAGAGGTTAGGGTCTAAAAGTTTTGTTGGAAAGGATAGTTTCTTTAAAAATAATTTTATATGCATTCTTGGAGTGGTTCACTATGCTCTTAACATCTAATGTTTGCTAATAAATATTTTATAACTGGTTCTCCAAAAATTAGTAAGGTACATGCATACACAAGCATGTGTGTGTGTGTGTGTGTGTGTGTGTGTGTGTTGATTTTACAACTTTTACTGATTTAAGGAATACACAACATAAACTTGTAATAAAACATAGCATTTTCATTTTGAATTTCACATAGGTAATTGATTCTTAAAGCACCACTTTGTTTTTTAATCAAATCCTTGTATTTTCAAGAAACCTTGGTTATAACTGACAAGTGTATTTTCAACATGACTTGATATTTTTGTTGAGTAGCAAGTAAGATGAAAGAAAAAAAAATGGAGACACATGTCTAAGGTTGCCAGATATAGCAAAGAAAGACATGCAATGCTCATTTAAAGTTGACCTGTGAAGACCTGAAGCTTCAGATGAGTGTGCTCTGTGTAACGATTGGGATATAACCTGCCCCTAGAGACACTGCAGCTGTGGTGGCCCTGGCACGTGTCAGTGGGTGGCAGAGAGGAGAGAGGCTATGCTTACTCTCAGTGTTCTGACCCTTGAATATCTGAGTGACTAGGAGCCTAACAATCCCTGGAAATGTAAACCTGAGGCATTCACCAGTCTGGAATCTCGCAGACCCGGCTAGGCTTCCAGGGAGGGGAGGAAGCTGGAGAGTGGAAAAACCCCACCTGGGATCCCAGGCCCAGGTAGGAGTGAACATCAGATAGACCACCCTCGGATGGCGCCGCTTGGACAGACCTAGGTGAAGAGCAAGCCCAAGATGTCCACCAGACAGGTACCGTGGGGAATGGACAGGAAGCTAGCCTGAGATGAGCACTAGTCTGGCACCATGTATGCCTCGGTAGAGGGCAGACCATGCCCGAGATCACCACTGCCCGGTGTCATAATGCACAAGCAGGGCATGGCAGTTAGGATACCTTCTGAGATGACCCCAGACACTCAGAGACCCCAGGCACCACTGAAAGAAGCAAGTAAGTGATGGAGAAATGGAAGAGAAAAAGAAACAGAAGGATATGGGCACAGTGAAGAGAAGCGGAGAGGCAGACTCGAGGGTAGTGAGGAACAGCCTGATGTGAGTAGCCAGTAATGCCACCTGAGACCAAGGTGGGGTCCTGGCCTGTGATGCCACTGTAGGGTCAGTGTGGGTCTGTGGTCCTGCAGCAGCAGGGGTCTGTTACTGCCAAAGGCCAGGTAGACATCTCTGGTCTGGGCTGATCCCCAGGGACATGCTGATATCTGAGGGCTGTGCAGAACTGGATCCACCCCTCACCTAGACAGAGAGAGCTGGCCCTGTGGGCATGAAAGCAGGAGATCTGACCCTGCCGCTAGCCAAACGCAGTACTCTGAAGAGCAGGCCCTGAACATTGTGGGAGTTGTAGGCAAGCCAGCCCCTCGGATATGAGTGTGGGAGAGCTGGCCCTGGCACTCATATCCCATGAAGTGACATGAGCAAGGGAGAGCTGTCCCCCAACTTTCACCTCTTGCTACCTATGGCAGGCTCCGAGGTCATCAGAGTGGGAGGGTTGTCCCTGCCCCTCATCCACTGCAGCACTCAGAAGATTAGGCCCTTCACCTTGCCTGGGCAGCGGGCTAGAGCTGGGCCTGGATGTGGGAGTTGCAGGTGGTGAGCTGCCCTGAGGGCATGAGAGTGGAAAAGCCGCTGGGCTGACTCAGGTATGTCTCAGCCCAGATCTAGGGCTTTGAGTTGGCCTGCTCCCAACATCTACCCCATCAATGAACTGCTGGAGTACATGAAGGGACAGGTCCCACAGATCCAAAACCACAGGATCTCTATGACAGGGCAACAACAGGATATCCAAGAAGAGCTTCAGTGATGTTTCAGGATTGATAGAGAAGCAGAAGCCAGAAGCCTCAAACCAGACAAATCAGTGATTGTAATGAACCTTTGTAAGCAAAGAAGTACAGACAGAAGGCTACACTGGTGGGCCAAACTGTGACACAATACAGCTTCCCCGGTGAAATTTCTGTCTTGGGGGTTGCAAGAGTGGAGGGTGACTATGAGGGAAGGGGGAAATGAGTGGGATTGGGGAGCATACTGTGAAATTCACAGAGAACCAATAAAGAGGTTTTTTTTAATTGGTATATAAGTATGTTAACTATCTTTGGTTGAAAGCAGTCTCCTCTTATTTGGGAGACTATATTCTAAGACTTGCCAGTCTTCCACCCCAGACAACTTAAACCTACAAATTGACATCCCTGGATGAGGAATTTAAAGGTGGATGTTTAGATCTATTATATCTATATAATATATATAGATATATTATCTAAACACTCCGAGAGCACACTAAGAGAACATTTATAAGAAGAATTAGGTTTTTGTTGTTGATAATTATATTTGTTTGTTTGTTGTTTTGAGGCAGGGTGTCTCACATAGTTCTGTCTGTCCTGAAACTCAGTATATAGACCAGGCTGTTCTCGAACTCACAGAGATCTGCCTGCCTCTGCCTCTCAAGTGCTGCGATTAAAGATTTGCGCCATAATTCTCAACTGTTATGAAAAATTAATGAACAGCATTGTTGCTTATTTAATGATAAATTACTTTAACTTTGTTTAAACTGACTTACAAAACTTTAACAATATAGCCAACTCTGGTGAGCTGTGAACAGCCACTCCAGTGCACCACTGAGCCTGTCCTGTTCCATATAACCCATGATCTATTTTATTATTTGCAAATTTTGCTTTATTTCTGGGGATATGAAGAAAGTGGTGGGGGAGATTTTGAAAGAAAACTCCTCCCTTTTCCTCAAAGATTTTAGCTCCCCAGAGGCATTGTGAAATTTGCTCAGAATCTTCTTGGAGACATGACTGTCTACTGAGGTTTTAAGACTATAATCTCATAGGACCCCATGATATATGAAAATAAAACCAAAAGCGACCTGCACTTAGACATGAAGCATTCCTAGCATCGTAAGGCAGAAGAAGGTTGGGAGATGAAATTAACATTCCTACTTGTCTGCAATGTTATTGATTATCCATAGTACGTAGTTAAGGCTTGGAAGGGATTGTGTTAAATAATTGCTCCTCCATGGCCGTAGTCTTAAGGAGTAGTAACGTTTTCCTCTCTATTCTGCTTTGATGTTGTGAAGATTTGCCATAGATAGTAAAGTCTGTGATACAGGCAACAAATGCTTGAAATCCATCAAAGGGGCAGGTTCCTCCACCACATGCAGTATAAGCTGGCCCTGAGGATGGAAGGGATTTTGAATGCATGAAAGGTGTTCCAGTGGGGGCCCGCAACACAAGTGAAGGGTTAGAGATAGGAACTCTGGAGAAACAGAAAATGAATAGTCTAGCTAGAGAAGATTTGGATTTATATATAGATATGACAGCCATTTAAACCGAGGAACACAAAGTATACTCTTGGCAAGAAATCAAATAAAAAAACTAATAGCTGGAAAAATTGAAAATAATTTGAATCTCTACTACAGCTTGTTAATAAAAAACAAATGCTAGAGTGTTTTACCCATGAGCACTTTGCCTCTTATCTTGGGGCCCCATGGCCTTCTGACATGTATTTTCCTACCTTTTCAGCCCACTGATTGCCTCGGTCTTCCCATAACATCTCAAGAAGTTAAAGACAGAATGGGATGACAATCATAATTTTCCTTTAAGGGCTGGGGAAATTCACACTATGCATCAACCAACGAAAAGATACCTTCGGTCTGGTGCTTCTAATAGCAGCAGTTATAGCCGTAAAGAACAATTATGTGAATGAGGCTTGTATGGTACACATACCTTAATCCAGCCCTCGGAAGTCAAAGTCAAGCAGACCTTCTGAATTCAAAGCCAGACCAGTCAACATAGCAAAGTCCAGGCCAGCCAAAGCTACATAGTGAGATAAAATGAAATAATCATAAAATATAATCAGACAAGTAAACAGCCTCTGTGTCTTTCTCCTTATTAGCACTGCAGCGTTTAAATGTGCGTGTGTGTGTGTGTGTGTGTGTGTGTGTGTGTCTGCGTGTGCATGTGTATGTGCATGCATCTGGTGTGTGAGTAAAACTTTCTGTGTGTATGTGCAGATGTGTTTTGCGTGTGTGTGTGTTTCCTTTGCCTTAGGCCTTAGTACTTGCTATTTCTTTTGCATATACCATTTGTTTCTTGTGAGTTTTACCCAACTAATTCATGTTAATCCTGAAAATTCAATTTAATAGTGGTTTCGGGGCTGAGGGTGTGACTCAGCGATAGAGTGCTTGCCCAGCCTGTGCAAGGCCCTGGGTTTTATCCCCAGCATTGCTAAAAGAAAAAAAAAATAATGACTTTATTCAAAGGTGTCCCTTGAGTGATTATTCATCTCTCTTCTCTGAACTCATGTGTTTCTTGCCATTTTGCCCTCATTGTTTTATCTTATGATTCCATATTTTACCTGCTTTGCTCCCACTGGAATAAAAAAATTTAAAGATGAACCATAAGACTTATTTCTTATATATACATATGCACGTATGTATGTACAAATACACAGTCATGCTCATAAATATGTTATATATTGTTTATGTTTATTTACCTATTTTATATGTAATGCAGCTTATGTTTTTCTGCAGTATGTTTTTCATGTGTGTGTGCATACAAATTTATTTGTTTAGTGTTTTCTTTATGCTCTTTGATGAATGAATCTTGATGAGCACCTTCCGTAAGACAGCACTGTATTAAGCTATCAGCTGACCATATGAAGTAGAAGCTACCCTTAATTTTCAGAAGGGCAATTCAGGACCATAAAACATTCAATGATTGTGACAGGTCACATGACCAGGAAATGCAGCACCAGTCTGAGCCCAGGACTGGTTGAGTGGCCCTTGTTCATGCTGAAGCATGAGAAGTCATTACTTTAGAAGTTGAGGAGAGATGTGGGTCTCCAGAGAGGAAAAAAAAAAAAAGGAGACTGGGACTGTCAGGGACACCCCTGCTTGACCATCAGAAGTGGTACTTGTACCAGCAACACCCAAAGGCACAGGTAGAGAGGAAGCCAAAGAATGATGCTAAGTGCACAACCACTCTCTGTAGTTAGGAGATCCTGACACCTTGGCTTCCTATATTATGGTAAGTTTGCCTATTGACAGCACTTTTTTTTTTTTTTCCAATAACAGGCTGCTCTGCTTCAGAAACCCTGGAAAGAGGGCTCAAGAAGCATAGAGGCAAACTTAGCCCCAAGAAGTCTTCTGTTTTTGTTTTTGTTTTTATTTTTTTCCCCATGATATTATTCAGATCTCACTAATGGTCTAAGTTCACCAAGAACACAGATCATTGCCAAAGACCATGAGGGAACATATGTGTTCCCCAAGCAATTGCACCTATTCTGTTTTAAAAGTTCATTCGTTGCTTTTCTATTGTTGTGATAAGACACTATGACCAAGGCAACTTACAGAAGAAAGAGCTGATTGGGTTCTTGGGGTTTCAAAGGACGAGTACGTGACCATCCTGGAGGGGAGCAAGTCACTAGAGCAGCATGTGCTTACATCTTGATACACAAGTAGGAGGCTGAGAGTGCTAAGTGGGGATGGCATGGGATATTTTGCAACCTCCAAGTCCACCCCAATAATACTCCCCTTC